CGAGATCCAAAGAAATTCAAAAACAAATGAGAAAGACAATAATGGAGCTCTATCAGTCCGGAAAAGGTTATAAAGCCATTTCTAAAGCTTTGGGACTGCAGCGAACCACAGTGAGAGCCATTATCCACAAATGGCGAAAACATGGAACAGTGGAGAACCTTCCCAGGAGTGGCCGGCCGACCAAAATTACCCCAAGAGCGCAGCGACAACTCATCCAAGAGGTCACAAAAGACCCCACAACAACATCCAAAGAACTGCAGGCCTCACTTGCCTCAGTTAAGGTGAGTGTTCATGACTCCACCATAAGAAAGAGACTGGGCAAAAATGGTTTGCATGGCAGAGTTCCAAGACGAAAACCACTGCTGAGCAAAAAGAACATAAAGGCTCGTCTCAGTTTTGCCAGAAAACATCTTGATGATCCCCAAGACTTTTGGGATAATACTCTGTGGACAGACGAGACAAAAGTTGAACTTTTTGGAAGGTGTGTGTCCCATTATGTGTGGCGTAAAAGTAACACCGCATTTCAGAAAAAGAACATCATACCAACAGTAAAATATGGTGGTGGTAGTGTGATGGTCTGGGGCTGTTTTGCTGCTTCAGGCCCTGGAAGACTTGCTGTGATAAATGGAACCATGAATTCTGCTGTGTACCAAAATATCCTGAAGGAGAATGTCCGGCCATCCGTTTGTGACCTCAAGCTGAAGCGAACTTGGGTTCTGCAGCAGGACAATGATCCAAAGCACACCAGCAAGTCCACTTCTGAATGGCTGAAGAAAAACAAAATGAAGACTTTGGAGTGGCCTAGTCAAAGTCCTGACCTGAATCCAATTGAGATGCTGTGGCATGACCTTAAAAAGGCAGTTCATGCCCGAAAACCCTCCAATGTGGCTGACTTACAACAATTCTGCAAAGATGAGTGGGCCAAAATTCCTCCACAGCGCTGTAAAAGACTCATGGCAAGTTATCGAAAACGCTTGATTGCAGTTGTTGCTGCTAAGGGTGGCCCAACCAGTTATTAGGTTTAGGGGGCAAACACTTATTCACACAGGGCTTTGTAGTTTGCATGGCACCCGGCTGCTGTCGTGGAACATGGAACTCACACTTGAATCTGCAATATTTCACAATTGATGTTTGACAAGTCCGAACCCTTGCTGTGATAAACCTGTTTTTAAAATTCCTGTCATAGTGAGTGACTATAGATGTTTGAGTTGTCAATCTGAACGTAGGTCTGAGTTAGATAATGTAATCAAGGTTCGGACTGGTGACTATGATCTTCCCCTGAAATGCTCTAATGGAAAGGATGAAATGAGGAAAGCAGTTCCAATACTCTTAGATCAGAGTATTAATTTGGATATTCATATTTTTTCCCACCATAAAAACAGTGGTGAATGTACACAGCCTACAGTCAAAGATGGACTATGTTAAAGTGTGGGTTCAACAAACAAATGAAGAAAATAACCATCAAATTTTTGAATATGTGGCCAATCTATCCAAGTAATACCAACTTATAAATTTGCTCAAACGTTTTCGGAGATGTGATGACCTACATTAGCTGTAGCCATTGTGCTTATATTATCGCATTCAGTCATTTTTCTGGGCCACGTGTTAAGATGTACGATGTAGTGCTTCATGTAATATGACAATTATATGGTAAGAGCAGCTGAAGGCCTCTGTTACCATAAATATTATCCTCTGTGACACTCATGAGAAAGAAGTGGCAGCTACTGTTAAGAATGAATAAAGAACGAATGACTGGTACCATCACATGTAAACATTCAGGTTAATTGTGGCAAAAAGGCCACGTAGTAATGAATTTCTCTTACCAGTCGGTAGTCTGCATAGTTTACATGTCACCGTTTGCTACAGAGGTGATACCAAAAATAGTACTAGGTACTATCCCCAACATTTGACTGATGGAAAAACAAACAAGGCGAGTAGAGGCAAGTGGAGTCAGTACCAGGTAGTGGGAAAGCAGTTTAAGCCATTTTCGAGACACATAGAACGCTCCCTTCCCCATCACAGAATGCGGAATGCAAGAAGTTGAAAAATCTACTGTATCTGCAATATGGCCACCTCATTTCAGATTAGAGCTCTCTCTGCTAAAGCTAGCCATGTCTGGAATTATTAAACTATGCTTAAGTATGAAACTCAAACAGTAGGAGCTTTTACTCTTGAAGGAAAAACAAAGCCATGTCACTCCACTTGTGGTATTTTTATTTTCAAACATCTTGAATATGTTAGATGAGACCACAATCAAACTCAAATGAATTGTTTAAGTCTTAGGCAGGAAAAAAACCACCAACATATAGGAGGGGACTTGACTTCAAGCACTAAACACTGTAAACCCTGGTGTGTCTTTATACAGCCACTTTTAGATACAGAAATGCAATGTTTATGTTGTTATGAGAGGCTTTAGCAGCACTGGTAGATTGATGAACAGCAATAACAGTAGAGATAACACAATCAAAGGAGTAATAAGACATGAGAGATATGGGACATAGGAATGTAAACCCCAACCATAACCTCAAACTAAATCCTATCTGCCCTCCACTAGTGGCTCAAGCCACTAGGTAAACAATGATAAGCTCGATGAGATCAAGACCATTAAAAGGATGTTATCATCTCTAAGCTTTAGGAGAGTTCCTATCCTTAGGGTCCAAAGCACAAAGCAGCCAATTCCTGACCCACTTTTCCTGCCTTGTGAAGCAGATGAAAAGACCACAGGACAATGAAGCGGACAGTTTTGGAATCACTGTTACAATGAGAGGAAAACACAAGTGCACACCAGCCTGGGTGTCACTGGAAACACATTACACAGTGGAAAAATGCACATGCACACATGCAAACGTGACAGTTTCCTCCCATTGTCATCACTGGCAAAACAAAGAGATTCAGCAACTGTGACTTCAAACTCCTGGTTTGGAGGCATATTCGTGCTATTTCAAAGTTGGTTCATCACTGTTCTGCTCTCTAACAGGCATAGACCTTCTGAAACACTTCATCTCTTTCATATAAATAGTAAGTACTAGTTGAAAACTGCTGCTACCCTGAGTGTAACTTGTAAAATTCAGTGTGTGGACTTGGTTTTAGGGATTAGAATTAGGTTTATGTTAGGGAATGCATTATGTCAATGAGTGTCCTTATAACGTTAGAAGTACAAGTGTATGTGCACACGTTTCTGGCAGGCTGGCTGGTAGTGAGTGGCCCCCAGTGTTGACACACAAGTAGCCCAAGCCCCAGCCTGATCAGCCCGTATGGGTTTGGTCACCCACGTCACATTCCTCTGGTGACACACTACCACCACAAACACAGGCTTACAGCTGGGATGAGGTGACTTCCCAACCTTTTCCTTTCGGTGTTTCTTAGACCCGGTTTACTGCATTTCCCCCATTCTTATCTAGAAATTCCTCTAAAACATGTGGCCAAGTTTTAGCTATCAGTTTCAAAATGTGGTTTACCAACATATTTTGAATAATGCATGTGAAGTGACTGTGCTATAGGGGAGCAGAATGTACAAGACCATTTTTGATAAAGTATGTGTTAATCTGAATTGCTTCATTTACCCCTGTATAAAATAGGGAGCAAGTTTCTGGTGAGGTAGCACATTTTAAACACTGCCGACTTTGTAGTCTCATTTTTTCTGTCAGATAAGCCTCATCACATTCCCAGGCAGAGTTAGGAACACTACTGTGGTGTTTTTCATCCTGCATCTCCTGAACAAACACACTTTTCATATTTTATGTAATGATATTTAATGATCAATGAACAAGATCAAAACTAGAACGATGCAACAAGAGGTGGTCCAAATTGTAAAAGCTGAAGGACATAAAAAGCTTATGATACTGTGCTGTTTTATTTTTTGCACTGATCTTATTTATTCTATTTTAGTCATTTATTGTGGTTTTATTCTGCTATGTAAAGTACTTTGGTCAACTGGATGTTTTTGAAGTGCTATATAAATAAATTTGATTTGAATTGATTTGATTTGAAGCTTGAACCTATTTTGAGTACCACCACCATAACCGTAAGCACAAACAACAAAGAAGAAGAACCAGTTTCATGTGCTGTCCACACTACACTCCTAGAAAAAAATAAAACCCAGAAAAGAGCCTGATTTGTACATGTTGAAAGAGAATTAGAAGTGAGCAACATTAGACATAACTGGAGGTACCATTATGAAGAACTGTGCTACTGGTGCACGCAGTACTGGCATAACTTTCTGTACTAGGCTCTTACTGACTAAAGAAACGGCACTGACATGAACCATGGTTGACCTATACTGACAGCTCTCCAAGATGCTTCACTAACCTCAGGGATGTCAACATTTCAAAATGTTAGAATCAAATCAGGGAAGATCATCAATTGTTGTAGGAAATGATCCCGTCAAGACAGGGACGCCAAATCTCCCAACTAGTGTTAAACTTACCCAGTGGAGTTTCTGACCTCATTAACCCCTGATCTGTTAGAACGAAAGAGCATGGTGTCAAATATGAGTCAGTGCAATACAGAGGTGCCCGATTGTTTGTTTGATCCATAGTCGGTGGCAATAACATGCCAAGGGATGTGCCATAGCAACATACCAGCAGGGAGGAATAAGACTGCTAGCAAGTCAACATAAATGCAAACAGTGCTGAGATTCAAAAGAGTTTTGCTAAACGTTTTCTGAGGAAGGAAATGCATTCAATGCGCACATTGTAGGGGCAATGTAGGGCACTACAACATGCATAATGCCTGTAAATAAGAAATACTGGATGTCTGTAACAAATCTCCACAAGGCAAGACCACAAAATTCCAACCATTCAAAATTAAAACCTTTAACGCTGTTGTAACACACAACCACAGCATGCATCCAAGTATCAACAGTTGTCCTGGTAAGACTTAGTGTTGGCTATTTACTGTTCTGAGAGTGATGTAATATTTGTCCAGTCTTAATGTTCCCTTAGGCAACCTGGCTGCTACAGGACAGAAGTAGTTAGCAGTGAAAATGATGCTCTACTTACGGATTCATCCAGTGCAAATCGCAGACAGCCATGTTCATACAGCACAAAGAATCTTCGTTGCCATTTCTGTCAGAAGAAATTCATCCTGTTAGAATAGCCTAACGAAAATTACATCTTTTAAACATATAGCCAATGAAATTATTTACTTACTGGCTTTAATTGATTGTCTTGTTTAGTTTTGTTATTTTTTGAGTGAATGAAATACACATATTAATTAAGGGGAAGTAAATACATACAGTATACATGCAATGTATATACAGTAATTGCACAAACAAGCAGGCCTACAGTATATACATGCTCTTACCCGGGATCTCTGCATGGGATTGTCAAAGTCAGTTCCCTCAGGGGCCAAGCACAGCCATCCACCATAAATAGGTTTAGCCTGTAAGAGAGACCGGGGGAGCAATTTAGGTAATCATTAAAACTGAAAGAGAGTATGAGCTGAGGGAGCTGGGGGAGGAGAGATGGCATAAATATGAGAGAGAAAGAGAAAGAGAGGCAGAAGTCTTTTGTGGTCCAGATGTTGCCTCTGTTCTCACAATGCATTTTGCAGACACACACAACCAGTTACTGAGCCTTTGGAGTAATCGACTGGGTTTGATGACATGCTTGAGTGCCTCTCTTTCCTGTTTCCCCACAGCAGATTAGACCAGTATGATAAATGCTGACACACTGACTTGTGGCAAGCACAAAATAAAACGCATCTACACACTTATGATTCACTATTGTGGACTTGTTTGACCATAAACTACCTCAGTTCAACAAAGGCAGAACAGTTCAAGGGACATGGAAATGCAAAGAAAGTGCTCCCATAAGGCAGCTCTTTAAACCTGCTGCTCTTTGCTCTCCGGGCAGCAGGTAGGCTCTTTAAACCTGCTGCTCTTTGCTCTCCATCAGTACTGACAGTCCCTAAGTGTTAACCATTAGCAAACAGCTCTCATACTAGTGATCACTTCCCCACCTCTGTCACAAACCCAACCTAAATGTCTGTGCTGAATTATTAGTCTGCTATTCTAATACTGGTTCTGTTACTGCTCCATTCCTTCAATAAACAAATATATGCTTGTAAAGACATGTCTATGGAGGCAGATTTAATTAGCTGAAACTATTAGTGTATTTTGGAGGGCAGCAGGTTGTGAGCCACTTAAATCAAATTATTCTAGTAATTTAACAAACGATGAAACAACGCTGCTCATGCTCTGAGGCAGACAGCTGGAGAGAGAAGACTGCTGTTGGAGAGGGAGAAAACGTGGTGCAACTGTTTCAGAAAACGTTTAGGAGCAAAAGCACATCCCCACATTTGCTCACATGCTTACAAAAAAAAAAAAACACACTGGAGCCAACTACTCTCCTCGCCACTATTACCCCTTCAAACTTGGAGGTGTATTGCCTCTCAGTGTCTGGCGTCACTGGCGACTTCCAAACTAACAAGAAAACTTCACAAAAATCAACTCCGCAGCAACAACGGTCCTGTTTCAACTCACTTTGACAGTGTCACAGTGAGAAAAGCACTGAAGAGTAACTGAAGACTACTGAACTCAAGAAGGGAAAGGACAGAAAACACATACCCATAAGTTGTTTTTTTTAACACACTGTGCAAAAGCAAAAATCCCAATTAACAGAATTAATTTAATATATTTAATATATTGCCCTGCCCTAGTTTTGCCAGTGCCATGTGTCAAAATGAGGTGGTTGCACATCACCTACAACTCTCTGTGATCATGTATCGATGGTTTAAATAAATCTTTGTTGCCAAACAACTGCAAAACTATTCACTGTAACTCCAGCTCAGAACTACTGTCAGACAATGGTTAAAAGTACTTCCTAGGTAGACCTTAAAATATCTCTATAATTGTGCTGGTACTTGACACCACAAATTATCGTACTTGTATCAATTACTACATAGTAGTATATGGAGTGTGGGGCTTAGGGTCATAAAAAACAAGTTGTCATAGAGGCAGATGACAGAAAATTTATTTTGCTGTTGCAAGGATGTACTCAGCCCCTGGTAATACTTCAGAGGCAACAAAAAGCACTGTTACTCGAGTATGAACCACAATATTAGATCAGTGTTTTCAGACCGTATTCTGAAGAGCATTTTAAAAAGATGTGTGTTCAAGATGGTCTGCATATGGCCGTAATTCTAATGGCAACTCAGAAGAACAGGTTCATTCTAGTCGGGGTGCTGTTTTCACTGACCAGGCTTGTGGGTGTCAAAAACAAACATAGCTGGCTGTGACACCTGAGGACCCATGTGAACGTCATCCTATCCTTAATACAAAAGGCTCTCCAAGACACACTGCATTGGCTGGCACAGAGCCATTGAAATGAGCTATAACCATTTTAGCCTGAAGTGATGGCATTTATCCTTAAGTGATGAAACAGCCCATAGTCTCTCACTTGTGTTGTGCCATGTGGGAAGCTTTACAAAGCTTTAGGCTTTGTAAAGTTTGACTCCATTCTGTATCCACTGCTCATAAGTTCACAAATGGGATGTTGAGCAGCTGCCTCTGGGAACCTCTGCTCTGACTTCCCAACCCCACACTTCCTTTCTCACCCTGTGACTCCTGCTCCCACTCCTTAAGTCTCATTACATCCCTGCCTGTCTTTTTCCATCTCTCCCACATACGTGTAAACTTCAGCCGGCCTACATCCGCCATGACTGTCCTGCCTCCCACCACCTCTCCCGGATAGTGTGATCACTTTCTGCCAGCAATGAGAGGCAGCCAAGCTTGACGAACATTCCAGCTCTCTGGGGACAAACTATTCATGTGACCAAGTGAAGACCGTGACACAAAGCTGGAACTCGTGTTGAAATAAAAACTCCTTTTGGAGCACACTGACTGAAATAAAAGAATTCACTGGGGCAGCAGCCCCTCCCCCAGGCCACCTTTTATCCTAGCAGTGTTGAACAAAGACATTGTTTATATCAGACACTGTCCCTCCGACATGAAGCTCTGTTCCGTTTGCATAACTTTTCCAAGCGGGTTAAATGTTTGAACATTGCATTCTCAAGCTCCAACTCCCATTATGGTCAGAATAACTTGCACTTAATTTAGGCCCAATTCATTTAGCTAAATCACCTACTCATGGCATTTTAACAGCATTACACAGCTTTTACAGGACCTTTCTTCTCACTGGCTTACTGAGTTTATCCCCTCTAAGTCAGCCTAGTTAAGCTCTTGAACACTGGGAACATTTTACAAAACCCTGCCCCCAACAAGGCTCAAAAGTTTAACACTGTTTATGTGGTGTTACATAACACAGTTATAGGCCAGTAATAGCCTGGTGCATAGCACTAACTAGCTTGAGGACTGGCAACACTGTGCAAAAGAGCTGCCTGCTAAATGATAGCTGACAGACTGGAGATGTTTTCTAAAGCCCATGGCTGACTGGGCCAAAAGTGGTGAGCAGCGGCTGATGGTGTAAGCCTCTGTGGTTGTGGGTGTTGTCATAAGGGCTGCAGGACAAGTATGGGCGAGGTCAAAGGGAGATTAAAGAAAGTGTTGTAACAATGAGATGTCTATTCTGACTTGCATCTGAAGGGTTAAACTAAGAAACACACTCTTTGGGGTAAAAAAAGCAAGTGCGAACCCCCAATTACTCTCAGAGGAGAAAGGGATGCTGACGTTGCTGTTTGGCTCTTAAACCATGTTCAAGAGCCCATCTGGGATCAATTACAAGACACAGCAGAGACTAGACTGATGATCTGAGAGACAGAAGGAGCCACTCAGGAACTATGCTTATAACAGATCTCCACAGCTGACTGGAGCTTCGCTTCATCTTTAGCCCTCTAAACTTTGCTTTTTTCCCCATTCATGTTCCCATTCAGCTCTACATAGTGGTCGCTAGATGGCTTGTGGGTACACATTAAAAACAACTGCAGATAAACAGCAGCTGATGGTTACAAAATCAATCACTGATACCAAGCTGGCAAGAAAATGCAGCCATTTTCTTTAGAAGAAACCCAGAGGAATTCACTTTCAGCAGTCTGAATCAATGACATGGAAAGAGAACAGAAGAAGGGAAGAAACCATAGATGCCTTGTGCTTCAGGCAAAATAAACACCCTAACTTTCCGTACTTGTTTGCTGTAATTACACTGTTGCATAACAAGTATGTTCAGACTTATTATACCACATCCACATACAGTGTCTGTCTCTCTAACTGGCGCTCTACTGGTCAGTACAACCTAAGTTTTGATATCTATCCATTAGAGGGGCTGTAATTAATGTATAACATAGAGATATCAGATATAACGGCAAGTGTCAGCCTACATTATCAGGGGCTTGACAAGCTGGCTACATGGCTACTAGCCAATAATTATTTTTCACTTCCCAATTTTTGACAGCAGCTCTTGAAAAGGATTGTCTTGGTCTGCAGTCAGTCAGAAGGTTATAAAGCTACTGCAGAATCTTGGTGTTAGTAACACTATTATTACTCTTCATGCCATTTTCCTTACCTGGGTCAAATCCTGATCCGTCAGCAGATGCAACTCCCGTGGTTTGAAACAGTTCTGACATTTACTTTTGTTGAAGAAGTTCGCCTGGAATTTCCTGCAGGGATTTTCTTTTGCGGTAGACATTATAATTAACCTCTTTTAAAAAATCTCTGGAGTAATTTCTCTGGAGGACTTGTATCAGCAGTGAAGCTGGAGATAATCCCGCTGTTTTTTTTTTTTTGTTGTTGTTGTTCCGTCTCTTCTAACGTTATCCCAACTTCGAAAAAGCTCCAGCACTCCGATGCATTTTCAAGTAAAAAAAAAAAAACAGACCGAACAAGAGCTGAATTGCTCAAAGAGAACGTTTAAACCAAACCTCTATTTTGTCCATTTAGCTATATCCAACAGCTTTTTCCAAATAAATAATTAGCTGCCATCAAGCCAGCCTTCCCATCATTCAGTCAGTGATAAATGCTTTTCAGTCCATGGCCTGCAACCACAAAGCGGAATGGAGAGAAAGGTGGCTAATATCCTGTTAGCTTGCCAGTGAATTTCAAATCAATAACGTGTTGGCGTAACGTTAAGCCACAAAAACAACATTTGCACAGTTATCACCCTCAAGCTCCGTGGCGATAGTTCATATTAAGTAGCAGCAGACGTCTGTGTGAAGGAAACAACCCCAAAGAAGGCTTGCAGTCAAACACAGCAGACTACTATCCCATTCGCAACAGTCAATCCATACGAAGTTCACACAGTGTTCCTCTTCTAGGCTGCGGCTAGCCCAGTTAGCTAGCTCGTATATAGGCTAGCTACTCAAAAACCTCTCAACTTGACTTTTAAAGAAGAGACGGCCTGAAAATCCAAACACTTCCTGTGCTTTACTTCCAGATAGAGACGCTACATGCAGGAAAAAGCACCTCTTAGCCAATCACAGATGGCAAAGTGAGTCTTTAGGGTTTGGCTCCCTAACTAGCCTGGTTAGCAGCCATAGGTTTATTTTCTTGTCTCCCAACGAAGCGAGGAGAACATAGAGAACACACACAAGCGCCTGGAATTCTGTACGCTCTCGCGATAGCTGCTCACTATCGCCATCACTTTTTTTGTATAGTCAATGGTCGCCACCCACAGGGAGAAAGTGGTTACTGAGCTGTAGTAAGCCCAATACCTTTTCACTTCGACAGTTATGAAAGTGGATAGCCTTTTAATAATTAGTAGCCACTTCATCAGATTCCTTTAAAGTGTCGGCAAAGTAATGGCTAATTCTAGCAACTATATGTCTTGCTGGTTAATCTATAACAATAAACAGTTTTTATAGGCTTGTTTTGTAAGATAAAAATATACACAGTAACCTGGAACTTAATCTGTCAAATAAAGGAGCAAAAAGGGCGTTACTTCTCTCTAAACAGAGTTGCAGCATAACTGTCAAGGAGCATAACATTGAAATACTGAAGAAAAGTACATCTGCGGAGTATTTTTCTGAAGTACCTAATTAAATGAAAAGCTGTGTGTTCGACTGGGAAAGAGCAAAAAAGATCCTATGTTTTTCATCGAGATTAGACAAGAGTAATTTATTATTACAACATGCATTGCAAACACTACTAACTAACTGACTTTAAAAACGCACTACAAAGCAAAACACCTCCTAAAGCAAAGTGGAACTGAGACTCTTCATCCATCCTTTCATGCTGGCAACAAGGGGACATGCCTCACATACTATGCACCACACGCATACTGTATGTGTGTGTTAATGGCTGACTCAGGCAGAGACTATTATAAGCTGCAGGTTCCAGTGGAAAGCAGCAGAACAGATACCCAGACAGAAAGAGGAACAGAGCTGTGTGAATGGACGAGGGACACAGAGGGAGGACAGGGA